CTTCTCACTCCTCCTCATGGCCGCGGGTTTTCTCCGTCTGCGACCCTTCACTGTTCCGTTGTGCACGATCCTGCGTGTCCACCACACGTTTGTTGGGTTCACTCGACTCTTCGTCGGAGCCGATCATCCACCGGTCTTGCTGGAAGATCTCACCAGCAACCGTCGTGCCTACATCGTGCCACACTAACCTGTTACAGTGGCGTTTTCTTATGAAGATAATCCCTTCCAGAGTATATACTAGGAGATGGTTGCTCTTCCAACTTGCTCCCACTAAGACCATGATCAGGCCAGCTAAGACAGGTTGGTAGGTCATTATCGTACATTCAATTTGGAGCTTCTTTAATAATGCTAAGAAAAATTATCAAATACGAATGTGTTAGATCTTCTTCATTTATAAAAATGTGGCTATGGCCGTACTCATGGTGGAATGGGCTCGGTGAACTTACTTGAGCTACTTGATTCCGGAGCTGGTGCAGTAAGGTGAATGTAATGCTGAAGGTAGCCCATCGGAGTCTTCGAAATTCGTAAACAAAACCAGACGTTCGTAACCTCTATGGCAAACTTAGTGGAAAGATTCGTCGATTGGGTTCTATCACTAACTTAGCCTGTACTGTGGACTCCGTCCTATACGACTATCTCTGATGATTCACCTTCTTCTACCATGACTTCTCCTCGGCAGGTCTCACTAATTGCAGAAATGAAACTTGTGGTATGGAACGTACAAGATGTTGCAATTGTGTCATGGTGTCCTGGTTGCAGCGAATCCAAACACGGCAACAGTTGAGTCAGACTTTTCAATTGTCGATTGGGGAACGAAATGAATATCGACAGCCACAGACAAGTTTCTTGTTAGAGGGTATTCAATACGCTAAAGAGCTTAGGTTCGTAAGTAACTTATGTTCGACGCGGTCTCATTTTGACATTGATTTAGCAAATTGCCATTTTGAAGTTGAAAATGTGTGAGCTAAGGCTCTTCTTATTTTAGTAGGCGACATTCGAAGTCTTTCCGCAGCGATGGAGATGGAACGGTGTGGGAAATCTGGTCCATTTCCCACAATTAGAGAGCCCAGTTTGACTTCAGGGCGGGAGAAAAATAAAAATACATATAACCCTATTTTCAATGAAAAGGGTGGTGTAGCCAATGGGTTCTTTTTGGCCTTTCTTAGCCAATAAATCAAGTCTCGAAGCTCTTTCCTGCTGAATGTAGGCATTTGGCACAGAAAAACGGAGGGGGAATACGATTATTAATCTCGATATTGCCTTACCGGTATCTCGTCGCCAGGAACCCAGTGATGCCTTTCTGGCGTTTTAGATCGCGTTGAAAGCCTTCCAGATCGGCGTCTTCACTCTTCAGTAGCTCCTTTTGCTGGCTGATGCGTGTCGGATTTACGTGGGCACTTTTGAGGACTTGCGCACAACCTCTCCTGTGAACTGATGGGTCAGGTGCATTATCCCCGGTAGTCAAAATATGTCATTCTATCGGGATTGCTGTAGAGTACAGCCTGTACTGTTTCACCATCTGATGATAATCTTCAAGATCAACATATGGCTCAAACTGACACTGTCGCATCTGGCCGTGATGATGTACAAGCTGTGTTGTCACAGCATACTTTGAGTGGACGCAACACTGTTGTTGTTTCTCTCAATCGCCCCCACCCCCAATATCGTGATGATATTAATAAGCGGTGTCAGCCGAGATCGAGTTATCGTTCTTCTGTGTGCTGTCACTCTATTGGCATCCATCACTACATGCACTTCGGCAAAAATCTCCGTCGATCTCTCGGCTTTAATTCGCCCAAGCGCTTATGATCAAGACTACGGCGTCTCTAAAAGGCAGCTGAGAACGCATTATCGAGCGGGTAAATACGATGAAGAAAGGGCGAACACCGCGGGAATTTCGCAGTGGTTGCATGGTGGACAAACCGCTGACGACGTGTTTAAACTGCTAAAGCTGGACGACGGAGTGGAAACGCTTCTTTCCAACCCGAAGTTGCGCACGTTCATGGACTTTGTAGACCAGTACAACATGCAAAACCCTGGGAACGGAGCGACAGCGATCAAGTCTGTCACTGCGACGTATGGAGACGATGTTGTGGCCAAGGTGCTTCAAAGCGCGACGAAAGTTTCAACGACGAAAGTTATGGCGGAAAAGTTACTGGGTGACCAGAGGATTCTTTGGTTGAACGCGAAACAGTCTCCACTCGACGTTTTTAAGCTACTGAAACTGGACGATATAGCCAATGTAAACAGCCCTGCTTTAAACGCTTGGGAGTCTTACATGAAATTGTTCAACCATGTGAACCGCGGAAGCGGAAAGGAGACGACTATGATTGAGACTTTCACCAAAGCTTACGGAGGAGACGATGCTCTGGCCAAGGTGCTTCAAAACGCGAAGAAAGTTTCAACTACGAAAGTTATGGCGGAAAAGTTACTGGGTGACCAGAGGGTTCTTTGGTTGGTGGATAAACGATCCCCTCTCGACGTTTTTAAGCTCTTGAAACTTGACAAAGTCGCCAATAACCCTCTAGCCAGCCCGGCGCTCGACGCTTGGGAGTCTTACATGAAATTGTTCAACTACGTGAACCGCGGAAGTGGAAAGGAGACGACGATGATCGACACGTTCACCAAAGCTTATGGAGATGCTGGTCTAGCGATAATGCTTAACAAGGCGAAGATGGTGTCGGAGACAGAGAATATGGCCAAGAACTTGCAGCTCCAGCAGTTCACACTGTGGATGAGAAAACGAGGCAACCCAGACAAAATCTACATCAATGTGTTTAAACTAGACCCGAAGAGGAAGACAATTCCAGAACCATATCAGACGATTCTAAATCACTACCACTGGTTCTACAAACACATCCGAAACATCAAATAGTCAGTATGTCTAAAATAAAATAAAAGAATAATACCAAGCTAGAAATGTCAAAATTGTCTACTAACCGTTTACTTCATGAATCTATTGTGTAAGTAAGTGTTCCTTTACACTGCTGCGGTTGCTATTGTGGCGGCGTCCCACACATTTCGTCGAAACTGGAGTTCACTATTGAGCTCTAGTGAGTCTCGAGCTTCTATCCATTTGTCCCAGTTCAGTTCAACTCGACATTTGTCTCCACCCTCAAACTTTGACACAACTGCTCGAAGTTTAGCAACGACAAGTGCGTTTGTCCTGACTGCGAATCGTTCAACCAGACCAGCATCACCCGACACTATAGCGAGTTTAGAAGGCACCTCCATCACACTATCCATCACATACACAAGCACACGCTGCACACGAGACACCGTAACATCATCGCCAGCTGAGCGCACGACCACTTCAAGCAGCTTGGAAAACCCAGTAACTAACTGCAGTAGCGTCTTTTCAACGCTCTCCACGCGGTCGTCTTTCATCGACGACAACTCACACGTAGCGAACACATCCAGCGAAGAACTCAGAAACTTTACGCATGAAGTGACACCACGCCAAACGATATCCCAATACACCAGCGTCTGGCTCCGTAACAAACACGCATCACGCGTCAAGTCTCTGGACACACACTCGTCCAACAAACTGGTGAACTGCGATAAGCTCTGCAAAAGTGCAGCAGCTTGATCTTCCCAGTCCTTCAGACTGGATCCTTGACTCAAATTCCTCGACATTTCAGCGCCAAGTCTTCTCAGTTCTCGACAGTCAGCCTGCTTGTCTTGCTCTTCCTGGTTCGTAGTAGGCTGCAGTGTAGCCTTGGAAGCGGAGCCGAGATCTTTCAGAAGACTCTTGTTTCGGAACGCTACACGCTTGACGAACTCGGTCTGCGAGCTCTTGGGCACCAAAGTCTTGAGTGCTCCTCGTGTGCGTTGCATCGCCACGTACACAATCGAACTGGTCAGTGTCGGATGTGACGACGGAGGCATGAATGGAGGCACAGCAGCACTCACTCGCTCCTCTCCGAGCCGCAGAGCTTCCTCCAGAGCTGCGAAGACCGCCGCGTTCGCCTCATGTCGAGTCTTGGACGTGATCAGCATCTGGAACGAAGCTCGAGCAGCGAACGCCGCGTCTTCAGTCAACACCGACGTATTCTTCCTTAAACCGCTCTCGGACGCGCACCGATCGACCAGAACATCCGCTCGAGGGGTGACGATGTGGGTCACCACATGCTCACACACGTCTGTGGTCACGTTTGCGACCACGAAATCCACAACAGCTTTCAACTTGGGATGCACCTTGAACACTGCCTCTGACAACTTATCGTTCTCTTCCTGCACGGGTGGAAAATTACCTGTCGAAGGCAATTTAACCGCTGGAACGACAGCGGTATCATGCTTCGCAGTGAGTGAGGACGTGTCGTCTTCGATTACGACCTGTAGAGGTCGCAGCTTACGGATCGGAGTCACGCCGTGGCCTGTTGTCGTCGATCCAGAGCCAATCGAGAGTTTCCTGCGAGGAATCGGCTGTGCTCGAGTCTGGATGAAGCCTCGGAGATCGTCCAGTTCACTGACGCAGCTCTGGACGAACACTTGGCTGTATAGGAACGGCAACTGGTCTTCTCCAGGTCCCAGGGCTTCGTCCTTAAGTGCAAGTGCGTCACGGATCTCTTGTGATGGCTGTAGGTCTTTAGATTGGTAGTCACTGGTATGAATGAAGCCATCTTCTAAGTGTAACACGCGGAAGATCCGCTGGATCTGCAGGGCGATGTAGAGCCCCGTCTCGCCCAGAGCATTCAATCGTGGCGAGCGATACAGAAGCTGCAGTAACACCATAAGCTGCTTGAAGTACGTCGTCCCCGAAGATAATCTATCCAGCGACAGCATGGACAGATAGTCGCATAACCAAGGGATACACTTGGAGATGGCTACGTTTCGAATACTGTCTTCCAGCAACCTCTTGACGTCCAGACTGGCGTCTCGAGCCACTTCCAGTGTACTAATCCCCTCTCTTTCCACAGCTTGGAACGCGGCGTTCTGAGCGGAAAGTTTGCGGATCGAAGACGTCACTTGCCATTGAGGAGAGAACCGAAGATAACCCAGAAACTTCCCCACCACTTTGAGTCGCAACACCACCTCGGTAAAGTCCTTGCGAGCGTCTGTAGAGGGCGAAACAGCGTCGCGAATGGCGTAGAACTGACGCTCCAACTGATGCTTGACCAGTTCCGAGAACTCGTAGCTGTCGCAGCTGTGTAAAAAGTGGAAGAAGAAGAGCTGGTTGTCCGTAAAGTAGCGCTTCATGCGCTCCAACGTGGCCGTGAAGCTCTTGGTCGCGTCCTCGGTCGAATTCGTTTTAACTTCTTGTCGCGTTTTACGTAACGAGTTGGTAACTTTCCCACTCTTGTTAGTAGATTGAGGCGATTTGTTGACTGGTTTTTGACTCGAAAAACGTCGATGCAGTTTGGGCAACCGGTCCGGGTTCTTGACGACGAGTTTGTCCTCCATAATCTTCAAGACGAGGTCTTTATCGCTCTCTCCAAACGGGTTGGAGCCCACCTGGACCAGCTCCTGGACGAAGAACTTCGCGAACCACCATCTGTTCTCTGGCGATACGTCCGCTAACAACTCCCGTGCTGTTGCGATGGCTGCTACTGCCACTCCAGCGTTCTCGATACCGACTAAGCTGTGTTGTTGCTGCTGGAATTGCCGCAGTAGACTCAAAAAGCCGTCCCGGACCTTCTCCCGATTAGTGTAGAGCAGAGACTCTGCGGGCGTCCGGTAGTGTAAACGCGAGTCTGTTTCCTCGTTAAATGGCAGCGCAAAGTCACGTACAGCGCTGGCTTTCATCTCGACTGGCAGGTGGCAGCCGATTCGAGCGCTTTCAGCCACCCGGAGCTCCTCACGACGTCGAGAGTCGCAGTCCAGACGCTCCAACATGTCCTGGCAAATGCCCTCTGCGTCACGTAAGCTCTGTTTCACGAGGCCTAGAAGGTCAGCGCCCAAGTGTTTTAACACGGATTCGATCTCGTGGAAGGCGATCTCAGCGAAGTCGAGACAATGGCTACGCCAGCAAAACTCAGACGCGTTACTTGTGCAGGACGTGCAGTCTGCGCGATACAGGAGACTGATGAGGACTTGCAGCTCAGCACAGGTGGACTTGACAAAGCGTTCTCTGATGAGGAAGCCGTACAACTTGGCTGCCTGTTTGTTGACCTGGTAATCAGCTGAGGAGATGGCTACACTGGCATCTGTCTCAGAGGTGGTTTGCTTCTTGGTCGCTGTCGTAGGGACTGTCGGGACTTCCTTTTGGTTTGATGTCAGCTTGTGTTTGGAAGGTTCTTGTTGTAAATGTGTCACTTGGTTCGAAGTTGACTTTTTCCTCACTTGAAGTTGAGGTCGTAATGTAGCCATCTTCGTTCTATCAGGCTCCAGGTTCTTCTTTACTATTGCTGAGGTCGTTGCAGGCTTTGAAGCACTCGGTTTAGGCCCCCAGGCTGACGGAGCTGGCGACCCTGCACCCATGCGCTTCTCCAGTAGTGAACGTTTGGCCCAAGCCGGAGGTCGTGTGCTCTCGGATACCCCTACAGGTGGGAAGGAAATGGCAGCAGGAACAGGTCGAGTCACAATTGTCGAGTCCTTAGGCGTTAACAAAGTGGTGGTGATCCTGCGCTTGGTAGTTTTCGATGCGGTATTCGGCGTCAACTGTGGGAACTCCTCGTCGAAAGTGGCTACTGTAGCCATGTTATCAGATGCAGCCATGTTGGTTGGGCTCGAGTCTTTGGCGGTAGACGTCACCACGTCGCTGGAAATCCGCGCGTCGACGTGGACCTGCACTTGCCGATGCAGAAAGTCTAGAAATACGTGCACGAAGTCGTCCACGCGCACGTGCTGCGTCTTGCCGCCGAGCTGCAACGGGATGGCTACATTGTTAGCGCTACCGGGATTCTCCGAGCTCGAGAAGAGCGCGGAACCATCAGCGCAGTGGAAGCAACGGATACCCTTCTGTATATCGCGCAGCTCCGCATCTGACAAGCCGCGTACGGCCGCCCAGAGCTGCTCGTCGGAGGAGTCTGCGGCCTCTTTACGGCGCGAAGCCATTTCCCGCGAGTTTTGAATTGACTGCCCAGTGATTGGCTGAAACATCTGACAAAGGCGTGTTCTTTTGGCCAATCCGGTTTACGTATTATCTGAACATCTGATTGGACAAACCACTTCAACATCCATGAGCGCATTGATTTCGAGCGGGTCCCATTGCCTATAATATCTTGTAGGCTTTGAGTTTGCCTTTGAGTTTATCCATTTGTCGAGCTATAGCGGTTGGATATCCGTAGCTAAGGTGACTACAGTCGAATACTTGCCTTTTCTGCACTTTTTTTAGTGAGAAAAGTTACCCACTCCGTGTTCGTGATTTCAGTCTGATTTCCAGCAAAAGCATACAGGTAGCCGCCTTACTGATACTGGATATGCAAAGCATGCCCTCAACTTCTCGCGTCTGGACAATTACATTTCTCGATTCACTGTCTTAGCTGAGCAAACAAATGTCATCCATTTGGTCCTCATTTATGATAATTCAGTATCCACGGGGTAGGTACCGGCATCCAAATATTTTCTGACAAAGTATTCTGAACACGATGAAGCATGTAAAGTAGTTGCAATACATGCAACAACATATTATGCAAATCAAAGTGAACCACTTAGCTGAAAAGTCTTAGTTAGCGCTCAAGTTTTCTTAGATACCGCTTCTTCTTGGCGGCACTTCTGTGAAACAAACTAAACAACTTCGGTTGAAACGCGCTGCCTTCTCTGTGAGTGCACAAAATATCGCGGAATCAGAATAACTTGAGATAGCAAAGTAGATGCACTTACTCATGGAAAAATTAGGACGGGTTCTACAGTGCCGCACATGTTTGTTACTTGTGAGGAGAGTTTGCAAAATATGTTACTTTGCTTGTGCTTCTACCAATCGAAGTGCTTTATGATTTCATCTTCATTGTTTGAGCGTGTACTGTTGCTTAGTTCAATGGCGAATTACGTAGGATATGGCTACATAACTGCATGCAAAGATAAATTTGGTCGACAACCCACCACTATACCCAATAAGCAAAAAAATATTTTCTGCTGTACGATGCCTTGAGCGGTATTGGAACATTATTAATTCTAAAGCTACACCTATCGTGGCGACGAATCTTTAGCCAACTCATGTGCGCTGTCACTTGTGGCAAGTAACAGCGTTAACTTATAGCATTGCAATTTTCTTGCTACTTATCTCGACAATCCATTATCGCGAACTCTCTTCCAACACTGGTTGACTCGTTTACCCAAAAGAAGAATAAAAAATTATAGATCAGATCTCCCGTATATGGTTCGAACGCTGAAGCACTCGACTATAGAATTGAACAAATGCAACACTAATAAAAAAGGATTCCTACTGTATAGTTGACTTTGGACTTAAAAGCTTTCAACATTTGCAGATGATGCACTTCCTCCTCTCCAACTCTTGTATAAAACTCTGAAGCTTAACGAAAGGAACCATCATAATTTAAGCATTGGGTTTATCAATATCAGAGCGGTTGTTGAGACTAATCATACTTGATTTTTTCACTGATTATAAGTTCGCTTGCTTTTTAGCAGCTTAGTGCCAACGGCCTCCCTTCCAGAACTCTTTAGTTATTGGATTGAACAATATACATGTACCAGTAAAACTGAAGATGAGTAGACATTAGAAAGCATACTAATGATTAGTATGCTTCCTCTACGAAGCAGAAGCACCGGTCAGTCGGAGCTGAGAGTATGTAATTTATCTGAGGGCACTAAGTGTACTCTGTAATCAATACCATGACGACTCAAAACTTAGTCGCATTAAACCCAGAGCTGTTCCGTGCGAATCGCGGCTTTGTCGGTGACGTACGGGATCTAGATGTGCATCCACTTTGTTCCAATTAGTTATTCGTGGTAAACGTCAGCGTGAGCGTGGGTTCACATTAAGTTTTGGTGATTGATTTCAATGTGTAAGCATTCGTCGAAGATCTTGAACCGTATTAATTGTCCAAGACCAATATCAACTTGCCACTGGCGAGGTAGCCAGGCTTCGACGATAGAATCGACTATCTAATGCCTGGTTTTAATTAAATTCATCCGGCTCAACATTTACAATCTATTGGCCAGGCTGATAAGAAACATAACACGCCATGCATTCTACGTTTCACAGCTCCCTGGACGAGCTGCACGTAGAATCTAGTACGTGTGGGGTACTCCACTGACATAGTTGTCAATTTTACTAAACCTTAACTTTAATAGCAGTTACTAGTAGTTCAAAACTGTGCATGTTTCGAGTCGTAAAAGAGGGGGCTGTGTTAAATCTAATGTGCAGCTTTGTTTAAAAGGGATTAATTCATGTTCTAAGAATTGTGTTCGCCACCACCCGCCGCTGGTCGGACATTTACCTGGATAGGTACTGCTCGATACCCGTTGAGCTGCGGGATAATAACCTTTTCCTTGAATGTGCCTGGCATCAAGAAGAGCGTGTGGTCTCCCGTCGATATTCTGCATGGAACTTGCCATCATTTCTTAATACCGATACTTCATATCAGTTCCTTCCAGTCCAGTCGTCAGACTACCATTTTTTGTTAAGGTGGTACCATTCTACGTGCTAAATCTACAATGAAGGAGCGTAGTTTGACTAACCGTGGGCTTTCCTTCATATTTGCATAATCCATTCTTACATCCATAGTGCTACTGACATGTTAGCACCAGATACTAACTAAAAATTAGCAAACGTTTATAGCGACGAACATGTTAGTGCTAGGGTAGCACCCTAAGTCGTGTAGCAAGCATCTAGTAGGGCTGACCTTGGAGACCTCAGTGAATACAGCAACACCGACGCCACGAACCTACAAACCAGTGCTTGGTGAGCTGTAATTCCGACGACGATCGCGATCCACGCTGCTTCAGACTGAAAATCCCAAATCTCAATTCGAGAGCAGTAAGGAGTTACTGCAGCAAACGCAATTGTTTCTGGGTGCGCTGGCAGAGTAATATAATAGGATAGGATCAACAGCCACAACGGCATGTTGAAGTGACTATTTTGGGGATTCGGTGTGCTTGTGTACAAGTTTACTAGCGACGATAACGTTCGTTTCGATGTATGAAAAAGAGCAGTTGGATCACCGCGAACACAGCGGTTCAGAGCATTTAGTATTATTATCGGAAGGTGTGAGCCATCATGGCTCAGCCATGTCATGCTCGAAGATCGGATCCGGTCGGAAGCCTTCTACGAAATGGCGCTGCAGCCTTGGCCTTTCCAGCTCGACACCACGCTGAATTTCGTGCGTGGGGGTGTTCAAGAAGCCGAGCAAGGCGATCGTGGCGTGAGACCGACGTCGTAAGATCGCCATGCACAGAGAGCCGGAAGTAGTGCATAAAGTGGCTTCAGAGCTCCCGTTTAATTTTAGGGCAGTTAAGTACGAGGCAAGAGGTAACTTTCGTTCGCAATGCGGGGCACGTCAGAGCACAAATGGATTTGCGTACGTCCGATCGCGCATTGCAGGGCTCATCTGCCGGCGCAGTGGTGTTGTGATCGGCGACGTCGCGGCTTTCAGTTGCTGAACGAAGCACCACGCACAAAACGTCGAGCGACTATGAGATAAAGCTTGTCGTCGATCCGCTAATAACCCAGTGACGCTGGCCCCGACCTGTAATCGTAATATCGTAAGCTCGTTCGCTTTCTTGCTCCGGGAAACACACCATTTTGTGGGTTCCCAGAGGGCGGACTTGGCTCGGTGGGACGTTATCCGCAGGCATTTCCTCTGGCCCAGTGCTTGTGTAGCCATGTGGAATTGCTTTGAGCCAATCGGTGCTCGTCTCCTGTTTACTTAAGTGGGAGCTGGCTTTGTGGGTAGGGCACCGCCGTTTCTGGGCTGTCCGTTCTGATTGGCTCAGCGTCAGCGAGTCAGAAGTGGAAAGGAGCTGCAGCCTCCCGCACTGACCCGCACTGATCCCTCACAACCAAACAGGCGTCGGCATTTCGAGTGCGGAATTCGCAATCGATACGACGACCATCACTCCTGCAAGTCCGTACTCGGTCCGGCAGGAACGATGGCCACGACGCCCGGCGGCAAGATGGATCGGCGCCGCGCCGGCTCCAACTACTTCCAGCTCGATGCGGATCGTAAGCGCAACACGTCCAACAACCGCAGCAACTACGGCGACGGCCGCGGAACCTTCGGGGACCGCTTGAGCATGATGGACGTTCTCCCTCCTAACACACAGGGCGGCAACCAGATGCGCGGCGGTGGCTTACAAGGCGACTTTGCGGACGAGGTGTCGATTGACTTCTGCTGCGAGGTGCTGTACAACAAGTTCGGCTTCCAGTCGGGCAGTGTGGACAACCAGCGCGAGCACGTTCTGCTGCTGTTGGCCAACTCCAAGGCGCGCTCCAAGCCCCAGGACCCTCCAGGACACCACGTCGTCACGCTGCACAAGAAGCTGATGAGCAACTACACGGACTGGTGCCAGTTCATCGGCGTGCCTAGTATCTCGTACAATGGCCAGCCACAGGGAGACCTCAAGAACCCTCTGCACATGGACATTATGCTCTTTCTGTTGCTATGGGGAGAAGCTGGTAACTTACGGCACATGCCTGAGTGTCTTTGCTACTTGTATCACCAGGCTCTCAACATGCTCAACCAGGACTTTCTCGGCCAGCAGAAAGTGCCCGAAGGATGGTACTTAAGACAGGTGGTGCGCCCCATCTGGAAGGAGGCGTCCAACATGCAGAGGAAGAACAGCTTGGGCAAGAACCTGGAGCACACTCAAGTGCGCAACTACGACGACATCAACGAGTATTTCTGGAAAAAGTACTGTCTCAATGTGGAAATCACGCAGATCGGTGAGGAATTGACCAAGAAACACACCAAGACGTACTACGAGCACCGAAGTATCTTCACGCTCGTGCTGAATTACTACCGTATTTTCCAGTTTAACATGATGTTTATGATGGTGCTCATGGCTATCGGCTTTATCTCGGCCATCTCGCCGAGTGGAGGACAGCAATGGTTCGCCCAATTCGAGTCCTTGGGAGAAGTCGTTGAGCCGTACCAGCAACAGGACGTCAAGCTGACGTATGTGGGTATTGTTTTCGCACTCTCGTCGATGGGATTCTGCAAGACCGTCCTTGAAGCGTGTCACGGATGGCACTTGTTGACTGCCAGCGAGTCATCGGAGACGTCATCGCGTTCGTTCAACTACGGTGGTGCCCTCGTGCTCCGTATGCTCTGGAACGGCGCGTTTGCTGGCATTTTCGGATTGATGATCTACACCCCGTTGATTACGAGCAAGAACACGGAGCTGCTGGACAAGGCTGCACCGGCTTCTGTTGCCTACATCCTGCCCGGTGCGCTTATCATCGTCGTCCAGGCCTTTGCACCGTCGATGATCACCAAGTCGTTTGCGGCCAAGTTTATCCGTGAAGGTGAAACATGCTACGTGGGTCGCAACATGGCGCCTCCGCTCAGCTACCAGATCAAGTACATCACCTTCTGGCTGGTGCTGTGGTCGCTGAAGGCATTCATCTCGTACTTCATTCTGGTTCGTCCGTTGGTTCTCCCGTCGCTGGCCATTTACGAGATGGAGCTCGAGTACGGTAGCAACGTTGTGTCGTTCCACAACTTCGGTGTCATCGCCGCGCTGTGGTTACCCGTGATTTTCATCTTCAACTACGATACTCAGATCTACTTCACGGTGTTCCAGGCTTCGCTTGGTGGTCTCCAAGGTCTCATCATGAAGACTGGTGAAATCCACGGCATCAAGGAAATCACGAAGGCGTTCCGCGTGGCTCCTCAGCTCTTCGACCAGAAGGTGGTGACCAACCTGGCCCGCTCGAACGATGCTGCGGCCGATGGATCTGCTGCTGCATACCAGTCACAAATGATGCTCCGTTTCGTGGTCGTCTGGAATGAGATTGTCAATTCGTTCCGCGAAGGTGACTTAGTGGACGATAAGGAAGCTGCTATCCTGCAGTACGACATTCAGAGCTCTGGTGACGTGTTCGAGCCTGTGTTCCTTTCGGCTGGTAAGCTCGTAGAAGCTCTGGACTACACGGTTAAGATTGCCAAGGAAGGCAAGGGTGACTCGCAGCTTCAGGTGTACATGGTACAGAAGGATTGTCTGTCGGCTGTGCGCAGCTTCTTCACGGCCAGTATGTACGTCATGGAAGCTCTGCTGGGCAGTGACGATGCGGACATCCTTGATGCTTTGCGTCAAATGGAGGCGATTGCTGCGAACGGTAGCTTCATGAGCACGTTTGACGCCAAGAGTCTCGTGCAGCTGCGCACGGTCTCGATGGAGTTCTTGGAGGCAGTGATGGATCTGCCCGACCCGGATGCGCAGTCCTCGCACATGACTTCATCTCGTGTCCACACCATGGGAGTTGTGCGTAACTTCGTGACCAAGATGGAGAACTTGCTCAACGCTATTCGCATCTTCGCGAACCGCCCCGAGCTTGCCGCCAAGTTCAGCAACTCCAAGTTCTGCTCGAGTGCGAACGGCTACGTGTTTGCTGCTCGTGGCCTCGTCAACCTGTTCCACAACGACACCGCTATGGGTGCTGCTACCCGCGCGTACTTGTTGATGTCGCTGGAGAAGGCCGATGCCATGCCACGCGTGCCTGAGGCCCAGCGTCGTCTTGGTTTCTTCATGAAGTCGCTTCTAATGGACATCCCGCAGCTGACGTCGGTCAAGGAAATGCACTCGTTCTCTGTGGTGACGCCGTTCTACAGTGAAAGCGTGTTGATCTCTCTGTCTGAGCTGAACGATCCGCTTGCCAACCACCCGGTTTTCCAGAAGGTGGAGGAGAAGGGTAAAAACATTACCATTCTGAAATATCTGATCACGATCCACCCGGAGGAGTGGGAGAACTTTTTGGAGCGTATTGATGTGAGCACAGCAGAGGAAGCGCAAGCTAACTACCCACTGGAGATTCGCCTGTGGGCATCGTACCGTGGTCAGACGCTCGCGCGTACTGTTCAGGGTATGATGCTGTACGAGGATGCTATCAAGATTCTTCACTGGTTGGAGATTGGTTCGAGCCCCGGCAAGTCAGCTGAGCAGAAACAGGCCCAGCTTGAGGATATGGTGCGTCTGAAATTCTCGTACATTTGTGCTTGTCAGGTGTACGGTAAGCATCGCGCAGAAAACAAGGCTCAGGCCGATGATATCGACTACCTGCTGAAGACGTACCCGAACTTGCGTGTTGCCTACGTCGACACCATCGTCACTGACGGTGGCAAGCAGTTCGACACTGTGTTGATCAAGAGTGAAGGCAACGAAATTGCTGAAGTGTACCGTTACGAACTGCCTGGCGACCCGATTCTTGGTGAAGGTAAGCCCGAGAACCAGAACAACGCGCTTCCGTTCACACGTGGCGAGTACTTGCAGACGATTGATATGAACCAGCAGCACTACTTTGAGGAGTGTCTGAAGATGCCGCAACTCCTGGTGACCGCTGACCTGCACCCGTCGAAGAAACCTGTGTCCATTATTGGTATGCGTGAGCATATTTTCACAGGTAACGCCTCATCGCTGTCCAAGTTCAAGTCGTGGCAGGAGCTGGTGTTCGTGACGCTGTCTCAGCGTGTGCTGGCCGACCCGCTGTACGTGCGTATGCACTACGGTCACCCCGATATTTTCGACAAGATCATTGCCATGCCCCGTGGTGGCGTGTCCAAGGCTTCCAAGGGCATTAACTTGTCTGAGGATGTGTTCGCTGGTTTCAACTCGACGCTCCGTGGAGGTGTGGTGACGCACGTGGAGTTCATGCAGTGTGGTAAGGGTCGTGATGTGGCTCTTTCACAGATTTCTATGTTCGAAGGTAAGCTGGCTAACGGTGCCGGAGAGACTTCGCTTGCTCGTGAGGCTCACCGTATGGGCCAGTTCATGGACTTCTTCCGTCTGAACTCGATGTACTACTCGCACACGGGTTTCTACTTCGCTACGTGGATGACTATCGTGACTACTTTTGTGTACATGTACTGCAAGGTGTACTTGGCTCTGGCTGGTGTGCAGCAGCAGATTGTGTACGACATGAACTCGACCGCTGTAATTACCGAGAATATTGCCAACAACTTCGACGAGCGCGTGTTCACGGACTTGAAGGCTGTGCTGAACACTCAATTCTACATCCAAGCCGGTACTTTCCTCATGCTTCCGCTCATGTGTGTGTACTTTGGTGAAGGTGGCTTTGTGCGCGGTATGACGCGATTCATCGATATGATCATCACTCTGGGCCCTGCGTTCTTCGTGTTCCAGGTCGGTACGACGATGCACTACTTCGATAACAACATCGTGCACGGTGGTGCCAAGTACCAGGCTACGGGTCGTGGTTTCAAGATTTCTCGTGAGACGTTGGTGCTTCTGTACAAGGCTTATGCAAGTTCACACTATCGAAAGGCTTGGGAATTGATCGGCTTGTGTCTCGTGTACATGGCGTTCGGTAACTTCTACATCTGTCAGACGGATGCATCCGCCAACGACAACACGTTCGCGTCCGACTACTGTGAGACCGCCCAGGCTTATGGTGTGCAGACGTTCTCTGTGTGGTTCATCTCCATCCTGTGGGTGGTTGGTCCGTTCTTGTTCAACAGTGACGGTCTTGATTTCAGGAAAACGAAGGTGGATGTCCAGCAGTGGTGCATGTGGATGTTTGCCCCCGAAGACTACAAAGACGACGATCCGGCTAACAAGGGAGGCTGGGTAGGCTGGTGGAAGGGCGACCTGGAGCAGCTTCACAACTCCAACATGATCTCGCGTGTCACGGTCATTCTCCGCGAGTGCCGCCACTTCCTGCTCATGTTCTACGTGGCTACGCTCGAAACGTCAGACGTCATGTACGTGGCGTACTCGTTCGGTGCTGCTGTCGCGACGATTGTTCTGCTTGGAGTGTTCCACGGCTTTGGCATGGGCATGCGCTCCATGAGCCCCGTGACGCGCGCTGTGATCTACTTGGGAACCATTGCTGCCATCGTTACAGCCTACTTCCTGGCCACGTGGATCGTGTTGGACTGGAAATTCAAGTACGCCATGTCGCTCTTCTTCGCCTACGTGGCTGCGCTGTACGGCATCAACGAGTGCTTCCGCATGTGGAGTTTCCCGCACTCGTCGATCGCTGGCATTCCGGTGTTCCAGCAGCTGCAGTTCCTGTTCGACTTTATCTTCTGCACGGGTATGATCATCCCGCTCGTGGTCATGTCGTGCATCCCGTTCTTGAATGTCATCCAGACGCGTATGATGTACAACGAAGGTTTCTCCAAGGTCATGTCGGCTTCCTCGCAGTACGCCTTCTCCCTTGCAGCCTTCATGGGTGTCCTCGGTGGCATTGGTGTCGGCTGGCTGTTCAACCTGCTGTCAACATTGGAACAATCCGCCAGTTTCGCGAGTTACGTGGTCACGTACGATGGCGTCTTGAGTGGAAATGTAGGCGACGGTACCACTACGTACATGCTCTACGGCGCTTGTGTGGTGGGCACGATCATCGCTGGATTCCTCAACTTCTTCCTTGGTCGTCGTCTGTCGATCGTTGCTGGTGGTCTCTTTAGTACCCTTGGTATGGTGGCTGTCAGTGCCAACGACGACCTCCGCTCGACGCTGCTGATGCCTGGTATTGGTCTACTTGGTGCGTCGTGTGGTATTCTCCTGCCGTCGCTGGCCATCTACATCTTCGAAATCTCGACCAAGGAGATGCGTGGCAAGGCTATCTTGCTGCTGGGCATGGGCTTTATTATTGGTAGTTTGCTTGGTGGTATCTTCGCAACTGTGAACCAGTTGGGATGGATCTGGCAGACGTTCGCTGCCTGCATCGTCATTGCGTTGGTCACTCCGGTCGTGAACGTGTTCCCGGAGAGTCCGTACTGGGTGCTGGATCGCAAGGGCTGGGATGCTTGTGAAGCCTGTCTGGTGATCCTGCGGCGTAAACCTGACGTACAAGAAGAGCTCAAGATCATGCGGGAAGAGGAGACAGCGGACGAAGGAGGTGCTGGAGCCTACAAGTTCCTCATTGGTTTGTTCCTGATGCTTGTGTCGTCACTGACTACTGGGTTCCTCAACGCCTTCATCAGCTACAAGGGAGCTAGTGAGTACACTGACCAGGACCAACTGTTCGTGAACGCCATGGCTCTGCAGATTTCCGGTGCGGCGATCGCCATCTTCTTCATCGACAAGCTGGACCACAAGTCGATTCTGTTCGGCACATTGATCCCTATCGCCATCTGCGCTGGTATTCTGGGCTTCAACGAGAACTCGGAGCTGCTGGGAGACACGGAAGGCTCTGGACTGTACGTCAGTCTTGTCGTCATGCTTATGTACTTCTTCATGGGTCTGGGTACGAGTTCTGCTCTGTGGTCGGCTTGTGTGGGCATGTTCAACACTCGCGGCCGCGCCTCGTCCACTACAATGCTGTTCGCCATCTTCTTCCTGGCGGATCTGGGCTACGTCTACATGCACACGCACGACTCGATGATGGAGAACGAGTACTTCTACCTCTACGGTATTGCAGGTTTCAGTGTCGTGGCTCTGGTGCTGCTGCTGGGCGCAGGGACCAAGAAGAACGGCGTCATCTGCACCAAGACAGAAGCTCAGCGCGACCGTGATCGCATCGCTCGCATGCGTGCTGAACGCGCAAGTCGCAACACGCGGACGCCTGGAACTGCTCGCCAGCGGAATCTCAGTCGTGTGCGGTCCAAGTCGAACGCTGGTCAGCGGGGCAACGCGGCGCATGGCGGCGGCTACCAAATGTACGAAACCCCCGCCAACGCCGCGCCGCCGCTCATGCATGCGCGCCCCTAGAGATCAATCTGTCCATAGTGTCAAGGAGCCTCGTTGGTTTTGTACATACATTTTTGCCTCAATACAGACTTTCGTGAAGTTTTACAATGGTTTTACTTGTCATGGTTGGTCGGATACGACGTCTTCGTAGATCTGATGGTTGAATGCAGTGTGCCGCCGATGTTAGCGACATTTTGTTGGGTTGCCCATAGCCTCCACAGTTTGAAAGAAAGCTTCCATTACCAGCGAGTTCTGCTATCGACCGTCCACGCTGATGACGTCGAAATAGTGTAGACCGTCGAACATCCGCATCTACTTCTAGTCCCGTGAATTCAGACTTGATAGGCCATTGGGCCTCTCGTTGTAGTACTTCGCGTCCGATAAAAGAGCGAATACGCAAGATCACGATGCTCCTAAATCTGCACTTCGGAGCACCATGGGGAAGCCATTAGGCTACGAGAATGCCACCTTGCCTCGTCCAGCGTAGCCAAATACGGTTCCTTTACGTTTGATCTGGTAACAGTTTACCCGTGACTGAAGTGAGCAGCAATCGTAGAGGAGGCAAAGCTCGGCATTTCTTTTGCACCAATAACCGCAAAAACCCACTAGCGATAGTTTCTCCAGTTACACGCATCAAAGCGCCTCATTTCCCTCTATTACATGACGTTCGGAGTCAATGGTAGTCACTAATTCCCGTTTAAAGTGGTTAATCTACATTATCGGAGCGACTAAACCCGTGGTTTGGGATTACATGTATTGGTATCAGGGCACTTGTCTGGTAGACCGTCATTTCCCAATAACCAATTCGATACTTGATGACACAGGACCGTAGAACACGCAAAAACCATCAGCGTCATCCGAGCTCGAGGTGAAGCGGAATTGGTCTGCGTCGTCGTCGCTCAGCACCATGGTGCTGTCCTAGGGCAATTCGTCAACACTCGCAGAGCTCTCTTTGAACGACGAGCTCATCGTCCGGTGCGAGGACGAATTAAGATCTACCAGAGTCAATATAGGACCTTCGATGCCTTTTCAAGTTGTCGAACGCTAGATTGCAGCTCTCCAGTGTCTTTGGCCTCTCGAATGGAGAACTTAGTAGTGTAGGGTGTCTTCAGACTAAGGCTCGGCTAATAGTAGTTATTCCACGAAGTAGTCGGCCACAGCCGCGTATCGGATTCGGCAGGACGCATTCCCATGCCTCCTGCTCACGGTCGGACAACAAACGCAAGCCTTAGCGAGGCCTCCGACGAATGGCATGAGAGACGCGTACGGCATCGACAGCCTCCGCAGTTCATCGCACGTGTCGAACACGCCGCGAAGCACCACGTCGACGATCCGTGGCGCGGAACAAGCACGAGAAGAAGTGCTTGCGTGACCCGCTCGAAACGGCGGAGTCCGTGCCGGCGTGCAAGAAGGACGTCGTAATAGTGTCGGCAAGCCTCTACAGTAGGTTCTCTACCGTGCTGCCCGTCGCGACGATGCTCGGCTGTCCATTAGCGACAGCTTGTCTGGCTTCGTGGAAGTCTTCATGCTCTGCGACCTCCTCGAGCGACCGTCCTCGTTTACGTCTGTAGATTTTCAGGTCCTCCTGTGAACGCACGAACTTCCAGTCTGCGGGTGGCAGACACGGTGCTGTTCGTCGTCTAGAAGCGCTTCAAGTCTAAGCTACACCACATCGTGATACTCGAGCTTCTGCGCGGCTGTGAGCTCGATGTGATCGCAATAGTTCCTCGGCAACGGGAAGCGGCTGGACGACATGAAGGCAAGGTGCCAAGTGACCAGCAAAGATCCATCCGCGCCGGCGCGAAGACTTGAGCCCAAATGCATATCTTTATACACGACGAGAGCCACACGTTGGAAATAGAGACCTTCGTGCAGCCCCATGTAGTACATACTGACGTAGCGGTGTCAGCAATACCGCGGTCACGGGCCTCATTCTGAAAGGGTTGGATACTCCTGCCCCGGGCACTGCACCAAGCAGCCGGATACGTTGAAGATAACGGCCAGATTGCGCGTCAAGCAGCGATCACGGCGGATAGCGGCAGTCACCAGCGCTGTGATGAGGAACGCGACCGCAAGGCGGGACGACAACTATCGATAACCGGAGACCCACTGCTCGCGATCGTGAAGATAAAGTTGGAAACTCACACGTCACTCACTGATGACTTATCCTAAACTGCTTATATCCCTAACTGGCGAGACTGTACTCGATGCATTTCGCGCATGACCGAATCGTTTTGCTGTACTTGGCTGCCGATAGACACGGCTCGCTTCAGCAGCACAGCGAGGGCGTCTGACGCGGATTTGCCCGTCACTTCGATCTCCTCTTCGTACGGCGATTCGCGCCAGTGCTCGACTGTTTCAACGTCGAGGGCGTAGTCGTCCTCCTCTTCGGCACTGGAGCTGAACCCGTTGATGTCGCTCAAAGTAGAGGCGTAGCGGTCCATGAAGTCACGCCCGACCCAACTCTCGTCTAGCGTGGCGTCGGTAGTGCGTTCTCTACCGGCTTCTTGAACCGCATCCGCCACAGACGCGGTGTCCGTCTTGTCATCGCGCCACCAGTCGCTCTCATCGACCTCGGACGCGCTAAGCGAGGCCATGTATTGTTGCTGAGCCACCGCTGCATCCAGCGCGCCGGAGTACGACTCCAACGCTGGTCCATGGAGATAAAAGTCCGCGACGACGGCGTATTCGGCTTCGCACGGCCGCATGCCGGTCATCTGCTGCGCTTCGAGCACGCAGTTCGGACAGCAGACGGCAAACGCACACGGACGCTCTGAGCCCAGAAACAACCGCTTGTTCTTGGCCGAGCACTTGGAACAGATCGCCAAGCCACACACGCGGCACGCGCGCAGACGCGTAGACGCGAACAGACGCTTGCTACGCTTTATGCAGACGGAGCACACGGCGTCCTTCGCGAAGGCTTCGTCCTGGTACACTGCGTCCAGATTGTAGCCGGATACCGCGTTATGTCTAGCCAAGAGTGTCAACTTCTTGGCTCCCGCGCAGTCGACGCCTTTGAGGATGCCACTGATGAATGACATGGACGCGAGCGGTACGACGTGCCTTGGCAGGTCTCCGAACAGGTCGAAGGTGCCTCGTACCATGATATCTACGAAGCCCGGCGTGGTCTCTCTAAACAACCCAGCGAAATGCACCTCCCCGCGTATCACGTCGTTTCTCCTGCGGTCGAATGGCGGACATTGTAGGATATCTACCGAGTGCAGTACAATGTACCCAAAGCGCTGTTCGTTGGTGTCTTTTTCCACTCCCATCGCCTCTAAGTAACAAGCATCACGGGGCGTCGTAAGCGGCATCTTCTTGAGTATCCACTTGAGTCCTAGGAAATGCAGCGGATCCTCGGGTGCATCTAGCTCCAGTACACGTAGCAACCCACAGTCGGTCGGTTCGTGCTCGTAGGCCATCGTCGTCTGTGTTTCCTCTTGTGTCGTACTAAAGTTGCCATACAACAAATCCTCAATCGAACCGGGTACTCTACCCAGCGCGATGATGCTGTCGGGTACATTACCGAGCTTCGCCTTGGTTTTCTGCGCTCGTCTTCGTCGTCTGTACATTTTCACTTCATCTTGTGACCGGACGAACTTCCACGCTGCCGGATCCAGGCGCGGTTGGTGGTTTGCTTTACGCACAGCGTATATTTCTTCGTCGGCGAGTAACCCGTCGATCCTCCGACGCACTAGCGATCGGTATTCTTCAGTTTGTTCGATGGAGACGTTCACCTGTCCGAAATGGTCTTTCGGGAGCGGGAATTTGACGCTAGAAGCGGTGGAAGCTCCGGAGCCCGAGTGACATGATTGCATGGCGACGTTGATGTGAAGGAGGTGCTGGGAAGCGCTGGTTGCACGTACCAACGACTTAGAAGTTTGGAACGGTCTCCGATTGCGGATTTCCGAAAAATGGGGACAGTCTCCGATCGGAAAAGTGGGTTTTGCTTTGATGTTCTGTAGTACGTCAGAGGAAGTTGGCGAGTGCCAGTCACGAGTTACCAAGGCAGGATGGGTAAGCAGCGCTGACAGGAGAGATCGGCAAGAGAGAGTCTCTCAGAGACCGCCAGGTAGTGACGATGCAGGATAATTCCAGTTGGCAGTGCTTGGTAGTGTGGGATTCAATGTTGTTAAAAAATATTATATTAACCTTTTGAAAATGATATCGTGGTAGGATGGGACTTGTCTAAAACAGTATTTCATTCAATATTTAACTAAAAGAGGAAAGAAAAAACCTTACAGTTAAGATCTTCATACATGATAGATGATACGCCATTACTCTTAGAAAATATGCTGTGATGCAGGTTTTGAATCACAAGAAGAATAGACACGCAACGGCGTTAATTAGGATTCACCACACCCTGAGGTTGACCCTCCCAGCTGCTGCTCAGACCGAGCCTGGAGTACGCAAGAAGAGGCCGAGAGTGTGCCGCAAAGCTAGGACCTCACTCCCAGCTCAAGTTCCTTGACGCCTGTAAACGAGCGCTGTATGCGTACAGTTCTTCATTCAATGTATCTTCAAGGTCTGCACTTGTTGTCGTCTCCAACTCAGTGTGATCTGGTCAGACTGGTACGATACTGATGCATCATCGAGCTCCAATTTCTGTTCTACAGACCACCAGCAACCGCGACTGTATCAGAACTTTCGTCTACAATATCATAGTTCCATAGTTCCGTTCTTCAGCATTTGCGGTTACTAGAGCCACTACATGTATAGTAGTTCGGCAATCTATGATGCCATCCTAAATACTGGAATGCTCGAACTGAACTCGACATTTCTACTTGAAAACGAGCACTACCCATCGAGACATCGAGCACTGGCAACGAAACGCTATCAGCTGGCACGCTCAACCTCGCATGTCAGAGCACTTCAACGTGACTTCGGGGAGATACAGCGCTGCGTTCCTCAGTATACACAACGCTTTCGCGTCGGTGTGATCGCCAGCAGGACTCGTGGACGGCTTTGACGGGCATTACTCGCCGTCTCCAAATCAAACGCCCGACACCCGTCTGTTTGTACATGTAGAATCTACTTGGTGTAAGTTTCTTGTCTTGAAATGACTATGTGCTGGTAGATTCGAAGTCGAAGTTAAACGCAGCCCATCATTACAAAGCTTCATCCTCGAGTGCAAGAGTCTTGTTAACCTAGTTGGCAAGACTCTTGACAGGCGATTGCCGCAATCCCAAGGCAACCTATGCTACGTTTGTACATGTACTTTTGACTTGGCATGATGCCGGTTGACAGCTGACTCAAACTGCTGCATTCCATCCAGATGTGCCCAAGCGCGAGCACACAACAATCATTGCTAATGGTAATCCGCTGCCAAATGCACCAAGGACAACTCGCACTGCGGTCTGTAGCCACGCAACAGCAACATGTCAAACGTGTCAAAAACCTTGTCATAAGACGCGTGACAGCGATAAGACCCTGACTCACAATGCCGTTCTAACAACCTCCGAACGGGATCAAGATGTGCACTCGTGTGGTCGACGAAGGGATACAGCACGCGTCGAGCGTAACGCTGCCCGTCCGACCTCTTGCCGTCACTGCTGGCAGCCAGGAACGGACACGTTTGGATGCAGCACTCTCCACCTTGCCTAACTTGTCGCTTTGGCAGCTTTACTAACACCCTCTGGTCCACCCACCAGACGATCCAAATCCTCTCGGCAGTAGCAGCAGGCAGCGATGTCTTCGCCATGGTCATCTATCCACTATTAGGAGGCACATCTCGAAGCTCAAAGCTCTATTATCTGTCTTACCTGAAGTTCGTCAACGCACAGTCCTTGCGCGGCAGCACTTATCAACGCGAGCGGAAGCGCATAGAGTCATAAAGGATGGCAGAACCTGTACGACGAGCGACAGCGCCAGTGCCTCCAACTCAGGAGGATGACGCAGCCATTCAGTCTTTTCCGAGACGCGCGACGGCCCCGGAGGACTCAGACTCGCGTCGCAATCGGCATCGGTACACTCTCTTGGAAGCGAAATCGACATCCATGCCCTCGCTAGCTCGAGATACCCCGTCCGTGTCGTCGTCCAATGCTGCATTGGAACCGGGCAACGTCGAAGGATTCCGTCACTTAGCACACAGTATCGTGTCGCGTACTTTGGCGGTCGAATGTGAGTTCGATCGCATGGGACGTCCCGAACAGGACGAGCACGCGTGGAAGATGCTCAAGAAGCAGAACCGCCTACGGGTCTACAAACGTAAGGCGCAGCAAACGGCTCAATTGGACCAGAGTCGCGTTGGTGGTTCGTCCAAGAAACCGCCCATGGTGATTTGTGTAGGCTCCGTTGAGGGCACAGTGGAGGATATCCTGTACGGAATGCACGCCAAGACCCGCAGCGAGATGGGGGCGACCATGACGTTCATGGGGAGGAGTCCACTCGACTGCGACGTGCTCGCCGTACTGGACGGCGGGTCCAGGCACGACCCGTTCCGTCAACTGTCCATCAAGTACCTCCTAGCTGAGACGTTCGGAGACGCACGAGTCGTGAACAACCGCGACGTTTGTACGCTAGAGTCCATGGGTTTCGGACATGATTCGAGAGGTAAACGCTACGGCTACTATCTTCTTCGAAGCGTGGATCTGCCGGAATGCTCGCCGTTACCTGAAGACAGTGGCGTGGTTCGAGCTAGTGTCACTATGTGCTGCATCTACCGCCAAGCTCAAGGTTCCGTCAAGGTCTATAGCAAGGCGATGATTGATCTGGGCGGTTCCTTGCCTGGGTTTATGGCGTACGACGCAGCCACAGAGCTGTTACTCTCCAATGCCGAGGCGATAACCAGTGCCACCGCCAAACGCCTGACCGTGTTAGCGTTACAGAATTACCACACCAGAAAGGCTCAAGAACCGGAGGATTTAACCTCGTCCTCCGAATCGGAGCTGCTTTTGAGCGGCTCTCGATATGCCAAGTCATTTAACTTTCGCAGTACCAAGTCCGTCTCCACGGTGGAACCTTCTCACACGGTCGAGGAGCGGAAGATGCCGATCAAACCTTGCAGCGTATGCGGCAAGAAGCCCAAGATGGCCAAGCTCGTTCGCTCCACACATCGCAATTGCGGTGTATGCAACCAATGCGTCTGCACCAAGTGCAGCATCAAGCAGAAACTGTACGCACGTGCGGAACCTGTCACCGTCCCATGCTGTAAAATGTGTATCCTCGCAGCCAAGCAGCTGAAAGTGGACCCACGCGACGTGTTCCCAATGCTACCATGAACTCGTAACAGTGTTCATACTGTCAATGTTATCAATATAAGTCACGTGATGCCTGTTACACTAATTCATTTGCAAGGGATCCATCGCTTCGTATCGAGTGATGCTCGAACGTGCACCATGTGGAGACGAATTTCCGTGTCGTCAAACTGAAAGGCCTCGCGTGCTTTGGAGTTGCCCTAGAAGGTGTGGCTCGAATCAACTTGTCGTTCACCCAGAGCCAACAGAAAACCGGCCGCTGCAGAATGTTGCCAAAAGCTTCTGTGTCGGTGTCCCTTACTTGTACTGTTCAAGAAATGGCTCTGCCGAACAGCTCCAGCTGGTAGACGACATAGGAAAATGCCGTAAACGAAAACGATAGAGAGGATCCCTTCAATGCATTTCAATCGAAACAACATGTGACGATCATGTGGACGCAACCAGTGGGGAGTGGACGGTCCTGCTGCTCAAGCCGAAAGTGAGCAATGGGCGACTAGCGCCTCCGGCTCTGACCAATTTGGTGGAGACGGCATCTTTCCCGCCTCACTGTTCAATTGTCTCTCCCCCCGTCGACATTCGCACCATGGCTGGATCACACGCTAGACGAGCAACTACACTACCTGACGATGGTACTCCCATGGATTCCAGGCCGAAAACGGTCGACCGTCGTCCAACTGTACCGGAAGATCACGACTATGACTCGAAAGTACCTCAACCAAAGAAATCGACGACACCCAAGTTGTATCTGAAAGAAGGAGAGGCCCAAGCGTTCCGACACTTGGCGCACAGTATCGTCTCCCGAACTCTAGCACACGAGTGTGAGTTCCGTCAGCTTGGATGTCCTGAACCGAATAGCAAGGAGTGGAAGCTGCTTAAACGACAGGACGACTTGAGTGTCTACAAGCAGCGAGGCGGCAGCGACTCCAAGACGTACACGGTCAAATGTGTGGGCTCATTGGAAGGCACTTTAGAGGACATTCTCTATGGTACACACTCGAAGAATCGCGAGGAAATGCACGCGACCGCCGCGTATTTACACAGTAGCCACATGGACTGTGCCGTGCTCAACGTATTGGATAGTGGGACGGACGAAGACCCGTACCGCCAACTTGCACTCAAGTGGTTCATTGCTGAGACTATCGGTGACGCACGATTAGTAAAGCACCGTGACTGGTTCAACATCGAGTCGACGGGTATGGGCACCGACGCTTGGGGACGTCGCTACGGCTACTTCCTTGCCAAGTTTGCCGATCACCCGGGATGCCCTCCGATGCCCGAGAACAGCGATGTGATCCGCGGCAAGATGGCTATGTGCTGCATTTACCGTCAAGAAGCGGGATCCAAGATCGTCGATGTGTACGCCAAGGGGTCAATCGATCTAGGCGGTGGAATGCCGGCTTTCATCACCAGCAGTGCATCGTGTTCCATGATGTTTAATATGGCGGTGTCCATGGAAAGCGCTGAAGCGAAACGTCTTACAAAACTCGCTCTTCAACACGCTCAAAGGGAAGCGAAAAAGACGGAGAGGAAGGATGAAGCGGATTATGAAAATGAGATAGAGACGTCACAGAAGCTCACGACGGAGTCGGTTTTCGACATGCTGGCAGCGTCTGTGATCTCCTCGTCGACTACATCATCGAATGAGGGAAAGATTAAGGCACCGAAGACGTCCAGGGAGCCGTGTCATGTGTGCGGCAAGAAGCCTGCCATGTCCAAACTTGTCCGGTCTTCTCATCGCAAATGCGGTGTCTGCAAGGAACGGGCGTGCAGCAAGTGCAACATCAAGCGGAAGTTGTTTGGCCGAGCGGGTCCAGTCACGGTGTCGTGCTGCAAAGTCTGCATCCTCGAGTCGAAACGCCTTAGCATAGATCCACGGGAGCCATGCCCAATTCTACCGTAAAATTGTCTGTTGATAATAATGTCTTTGTCGACGTTGTGCTTCTCGCGTATTGTTCCAGGAATGACTTCTACCTCCGCAATGACCGCTTCAGAAGCTCCATATTGATTCTGCTCCATGATGAGCTCTCCATGCTTAATTCGTGTTTGGATACCGAAAAATGAATAGGCTGAAAAAACGATATAGGTATGAAAGCAAAACTGCAAACCTGGTCCCATACAAAACCTAATTCAGAAAAGTCAAGAGTGAAAATGGTGTAACATAAATAATCGAATTTTTAAATTTATAAAATAACGTTACAAAGCCGTGCTTCACCCGAAAGCTCTGAAATTCAGCAAAAAAATTCACTTAATGTTTCGAAGGCCTGGAAGCTGCAGCATCAAATCCTTGGTACACGACCATGGTTTCTTGATTGCCGCCGGAGCAGATCAAGCAACTCTTGTTTTAAGGATTTCTAAAAACCAAAATATCATTTCAGGACCTCTGATATAAATTTCAGAGATTAAGACTAGCGTCGTACTTCGAGATATTCAACAAGCTTTGCACCAAATAAAAGCTTACCAAAGTAACTAAGGAATATATGACAAGGCTACAAAATTCATTGGGTCATTGGTTTCGGAGATATTGGAGCGATTCTCGCAGCCATTTGAGGCGTTTAGAATTCTAGACTGGTGTCTTTTTCTATGATTCCAAACTTGCTGCGGGAATCACTCCATTGGCCACATATTCTATAGACAGTTCTTGCATTTTGGCTTGGAATTATATCCAAAATGAGTGACAGGGAATATGTCCTGACTGGAAATACGTCCGACACTGATACACCAACCCCACGACTCTCTATTAATCCCTCATCAATACCTCGAGCCGATTTGGGGCTAACCAGTTACAAATAGAAAACCTGTTTGAAGTAAGATGCACTAAAGCATACAGAGAGGTTTCTTATACTCTATCGACGTGGGGCAATAGTCATGCGCTTGCCACCATTAGCGTTTGGTCCAGCGAGGCCCATATCCTCCAGGAACTTGTCCATACGTGCCGATTCCTTCGCCTAACATCAAATACAGCAAAATAATCAATCTTCAGCCAACACAAAGCCCTCCATCAGCATCGTACCTTCAGACCCGCTAGTTTTTCCTGCTGCTCTTCTTGCTTGCGTCGACGCGCTACGTCTCGCTGAGCCATGCGGCGTTTCAGATCCTCATCCCCTCCACGTCCGCCCATCAAGAAGTCGTCGCTTAGATCAAGACCGTCCCGAGCTTCTTCTCGGTCTCTCGCAGCGCCATGCAGCTTGTCCGCCAGCTGGTGTCTCTTGTCAATCTGCGCCTCTCTTCCCGTCGCTTTTGGCGCCAGTTCATCCATCACTACGTCACGGTATTCTCGTTCTCTTTTGCGCTCCAACTTTTGACGCTTTCTGTGTTCTTCCCTGTCATCTTCATCCTCTTTGAACCGACGTTTGGTCCAGTTTGTGTCGTCCTCTTTTTTTGGTCCCTTCACTTTGTCATCTGATGTCAACAGGTTTTTCTTCTTTGTGGCTACATCCACCGAATCTTTGGCTGTCGCCAGCTCAAACTTCTCCTTCTCTCCCAGTTTGGCTACAAACCCCCATTGATGACGCGTCCGCTTGGTTTGCTCTACTACAGCATCGGGGAGCCCTTCATAGAACATTTTGGATAACTTGCCGCGGTTCCACTTCCTGGCAAACTCGTCCGTGAACAGATCCATGGCCTCGTCCGTCGACAGATCGTCGACATATTTGTTCCTGATCACAAATAGTGTTACTACTACGGTGAAATTTGGTCCAGACAAAATGACCACGCACTTTGTTTGCGCCAGCCAAACTCGGAACTCCTTCTGGAGCAGAAAATAGTCCTCTTCTGTTATCTTTTTTGCTCCCTTGGGCAGTTTTGACTTGTGTCGGGACGAGCTCTCGTTGTCTCTGCGGCTCGATTTGCGACTCGGAGACTTTCTAGTGTGCTTGCGCTCACTGCGGTCCTTGGCGCCTGCATAAATGGGTGGAAGAAGAGGTTAATCAGGAGTACGGAACAGATTATGGAGAAGGTGACGAACGATGATCTCTGCTCATGTTTGTCCAAAGTCGAAATGCAGAATTGAGTCACTCAAGTGAGGAGTGACATTTATTGGATTTTGTACTACAAAATTTGTAGCATTTTCAATCGGGTCTGTCCGAAAAAAAATATGTGTAAATCCGCCATCCCGGCGGCGAGAAGGTACTATAGCTCTTTCAACATGTCATCGGATATTCGTGACTGCATCTTGGCGACATAATAGTGATTTACGCCACATCTCCGCGGAGGCGGAGGGGTTATAGGAGTCGTTCATTCGAAAAAGTGTGGACAAAACTACCAATCTAATCGAGATATAAACAATATCACTTTTAGAAATGCACCCGAGAAGTTGGTCGTGGGTAATGCCTGCCCACTGCTGATAAACTCGATTTTTCGCCACTATCCATAGAACTCTAGGGTTTCTTTATTCGTCGTACTTCTACACTGTACAAACAAAATTAGGATGTAATGACTCTATAGGGCTAAATGTAGTTTTTAAAGGGCTACTCCGGCACGAAACGTGGCCAAGTCTACTCTATTTGTC